GAACTACAGCTCCCACACGGCCCCGGGCACGGCACCGCGCTGAGGGGATGAGGGGAATGAACTACAGCTCCCACACGGCCCCGGGCACGGCACCGCGCTGAGGGGATGTGGGGAATGAACTACAGCTCCCACACGGCCCCGGGAACGCCGGGCGGGGCTGAGGGGATGAGGAAAGGCGGGGATGAGGGGAATGAAGGGGTACGGATGATGCTCCGCCCGCCGCCGCACACACCGCTTCGGGACCCCGGGACTCGGCTCCGGGCACAAGGAGTCCGGGCTTCGGGGTTTGGCTCTGGACACGGCTCCTGACCCCCGAGACTCGGATATGGATACGCGGCACCGGTTCCCTGGAGCTCGGCCCCGGCCCCAGCTCCTGCCCCCAGCGCAGTTCGGAGCCGGACACCGGGCACACAGCTCCGGGCCCCTCGGCTCGGACCTGGGCACACGGCTCTGTCCCCGGGCTCGGACCTGGGCACACGGCTCTGTCCCCCGGGCTCGGACCTGGGCACACGGCTCTGTCCCCGGGGCTCGGACCTGGGCACACGGCTCTGTCCCCGGGCTCGGACCTGGGCACACGGCTCTGTCCCCGGGCTCGGACCTGGGCACACGGCTCTGTCCCCGGGCTCGGACCTGGTCCCCACAGGGCTCAGACCCACACACAGCTCCTGCCGCTGGCCAGGCAGGTTAAGGGGTGGTAACAGGACAGGTTTCACCTGTAGTTCAGGAAAGGACTGGAAGAGACTGCGAGTGTTCCTTTCCCGTGGTGAATAAACATTAGCCAAAGCCCAAAGCCTTGGTCAAAGCCACTGACAACTGCAGGCTACCCACAGGGAGCCAGTGTGAAGGATGAGGGACAATGCCTCAAACTGCCAGAGGACAGGGTTAGATGGGATATTGGGAAGGAATTCTTCCCTGTGAGGATGCTGAGGTCTGGTACAGGCTGCCCAGAGAAGCTGTAGCTGTCCCATCCCTGAAAGTGTCCAAGACCAGAGTGGATGGAGCCAAGAAGAATCTGGGATAATGGAAAATGTCCCTGCCCCTTGGAACAAGATAAGCTTCCAACCCAAACCAGTCTGGGATTCTCTGATGTGCTTTCATGGGCTGCTTGTCCCAGCAGCTGCTGCCACAGGAGTGCTGAGCCCACCCCAGCCCCTTTCCCTAGGAGCAGGAGTAGCTTTCCCACCTGTTCCCTCAGAGAGAGGACCTGGCAGGCCAGTGCCAGCATTTTTATTAAAAGCTGCTTACCTAGTACTAACACAGGGCTGTGGAAGTGCGAGCTCCAGAGGTTAATTGTGGCAGTCCATAGCATGAGAGGGTGATGGTGACTCCCTTGTTCCCAGCACAAAAGCTGGGGCCTTTTCCTTTCCTTTCCTGTCCCTTGTTTCTGTCTGTGCTGAATGACCTTACTCTGTTTTGCTTTTCTGCTCCAATAACCCTGCTGGTTTGTTTTTCTTTTTTAAAATTTTTAGACCTCCCTTCACTCCATTTTGATCACATGCCTTACCAACCTGTGTCTGAGTGCAGCAGCCAGAGTGTGAATGTGCTCTTGAATGAGCCTCGTCCCTGCTCCCCGCAAAATCAGCACGGGACCAGGGCAGAAAGCTGGCCTGCCTCCATCCCCAGCCCTTTGCAGCACTTCTAAGCTGTCTAGCAAAGGTAAAAGGCATCCACTGTTAATTTGCTTTCCAATGCTGACACTTGAGCTTCCTCCATTCCAAGGGAAGGCAGCATGCCGTCACCCTTACTGCTTGGAGAATGAGAAGGAAATACTGGACAAAGGCACTTGGTTGAGGCACAGCAAGCTCGAGCCATGAGGAACCCTGAGATGAAACCCTGCAGAGCTGGGAGCAGTGAGCAGGGTGAACAGTCAGCATCTCCGAAGTGGCTGGTCCTGAGCAGCTCCTGAATCCCAGTACTGAGGGGGCCAAAAACCCCAATGAGTCCATGGATGCTTTGGCAAATGTTAGCCTGGACACGTGCTGATCCCAAAAACTGGAGCACCTGCTGGGCAGTGCCAACTGCCAGCCCCAGGCTCTCCCCTCCTTCCTTCTGCACCCAGAGTTTGTGTCGGACTTCTGGCTCTGGGGCAGGCTCCCCCAGAGCTGGGTTTCCCAGTAGTTTGTGACCCTGATCCACAAGGAATTCCCTTTCCCCACCCGCCTCCCAAATCCCCTCCCTCCCCCTTTCCCTGGTTTATCGTGGTGGTGGTGCTGCAGTGGTGGGGGCTGAGAGAACATCTCTTCCCACCACGCCTTCCCAGCACCCTCCCAGTGTTTTGGAGAAAGGGGGCTGGCAGCTCCTCGGTGATCCCCAGTGTGTGTTCAGGGCTTGGCAGGCTGAGTTAAGTCTGCTTCTTTTCCCATTCCTGCAGAGAAAGGATAAAAAAATAAAAGGGATAAGGAGACATTGCTGGAAAAAGCAACACTTCAAGACATCCCACCCTGCTGGGGGACTTTGGACCCAGCATTTTCCAAGCATTTTCAGTGCTGCCCTGAGCATTGTGGGGTGATGCTTTCCCTCTCCCACCCAGCCCTGCATGTCCATGATTTCATGGTTAAACAAGGGGCACAGACTGAGATTTCCCATGGGGCCAGGGAGGAGAGGGAGAGCTCAGCAGGACCTTGGCTTTCCGCAGCACGCTCCCTGTGTTGGCAGGGATGATGGAGGGGCTTCTCTTCCTCAGCTCTGCCGCACAGTTCACAGGGACCAAGTGCTCAGGGGGGGTCCCATTTGGCTTGTTTGTAGTTTCCTGTGGAAAAGGGGGAGCAAGAAAAGCTGAAGAAACCCAGGAAACATTGACAACCAGATTAAAAAAACCATGAACTGTAATGAGAAAAAGGTTGAGGTGACCAAATTCAACTCACACACCTCTGTCCACAATGGGGCAAAGCCAGAGAGATGTTCCCTCTCCCCTGTGCTGCTCCCCACAATACCCCAACCACCATTTCTTGCAGAAGCTGGAGCTGTGCGTGAGGAAAAAGGGATACATACCCCATTCTCAGCCTTGCTGGTCACAGCCAGCCCCAGGGCTGGCCCTCCTGCCAGCGACTGCTTCAGCTGCTCCTTCACCTCTGTCAGCTTGAGCTCCAGATCGACCCGAGACTCCTCCTTGTGCCGGCACCGCTCCTCCAGCAGCGCCACACGCTGCTCCAGCTCCTGCAGCCTCGGCCCTGAATGCACAATTCCCCAGCTCAGCGCTGGCAGAATCCACCCATCCTCCTGCACAGCGACACTAGATGGGGCTGCCAGCCCGGCAGAGCGCTGCAGCCAGCCCAGCTCCTGGCCACACTGTCCCTGTGGCCAGCCCGGTGTCCCTGTGCCAGCCACACTGTCCCTGTCCCAGCCACACTGTTCCTGTGGCCAGTCCTGTGTCCCTGTCCCAGCCACACTGTCCCTGTACCAGCCCATCTCTGAACCCGAGCGTCTCACAGCAGCCCCAGCCTACCCGTGCTGCCCTTCATGGCTTCCCGCAGCTCCCGCTTCTCCTTCCGCAGCAACATCAGCTCGCTGCGGATCGCTGCCTTCTCCTTCTCCAGCTTCTCTTTCTCCGTCAGGAACCGCCTGGCGTCCTCCTCGGCCCGGTTCTTGCCGTACCTGTACTGGTTGGCACCTGCAGGGATGGAGGAGCCCATGAAGGGCTGTACCGATGGCACCCGTGGCTGCACATCCCTCTGGGAGCAGCCTCCTTCCCGCACTGGCCAGGAGCCCTGGGGAGTTTTGTGGCCCGTGGACTCACTGGACGCGTGTCTCTTCACTTTGACTTGCGGGTCCACCCTTCGCGACTTCTCGCTGCAGGACGAGGCGTGGCGCTTCACCTGAGCACCCCCCGGCCGCCCTGGCTCCTCCTCCGCCTGCTGGGAGGAGAGGGAGTGAGCTGAGGCACCTGCAGGGCCATCCCCGCCCGGCCACGGCTCCCTGGGTCACTCTGCTGGGAGATGATGAGCCGTGAGGTCGTGCTCACCTGAACCTTCTCGTAGGGGACATCATCGTACACCACCCGAGAGGAGTCCGCTCGGTGATCCTGGGAGGAGCTGGCCCACCTGCAGAAGGAGGGGCGGGACCTTCCTTTCCAGAACATCCTTGCCAGCCCCTCAGGGAACCCTTCCAGCTCAGGGGGATTCCCGCATTTCATGACCCTACCCTGCCATACCCTTCATCAGCCCCATGAAACCCTTTCAGCTTCCCATCCTGCCCAAGGGAACAACCCCTGGGGCACTGACTGTCCCTGAGACCACAACCACAAACCACAGCCCAGCCAGTGCCCGTTCCAGGGAATCCACAGGGCACAGATCCCCAGTCCCAGCCCAGCACTCAGCCCCTGGCACAGCAGGAGCACAGCCTTACAGGTACGAGTGTCTCACGGCCGTCACGATGTTGGCAATGGTCTCCACATCCACGTAGTCGTAGTGCAAGGCCTCTGGGGCTGTCTGGGAGCCTGTTTCCACCAAGAGGAGACCCAGCCAGCGGCCCAGGTCTTCAGAGCAGCTTGCCTGGAGGACAGAGGAAGAGTTGGGGTGCATGCCCAGCTCCCAGCCCCTCATCCTTGCTGCCTCCCGACGCAAAGCCCTGCTGCGCACACTCCCCCTCCGTGCACAAAGTTCCAAAAGGTGCCCTGACCTTTCCAGTGGAGTGCAAAACAAGGCACTGCTTGCGTGGGACACTGATCACCCCAAGGATTGCTCCCCCATCCCCACGAGTCTGTCCCACCCCGCTCACCTCCAGCGCCGCCACCTCCTGCCCGTGGCGGAGGATGCGGAAGGCGAAGGGGTGCTTGGGGCCCAGCCCCGGGACCACCTCGCAGCCCCGCAGGACGATGGCGTTCACGTGTGTGCGCAGGTCCGTGCGGTCCTTGTGGAAGTAGAGGGTGTTGCCCTTGAGGCGACACCAGCGCTCCTTCCAGCACTGGTTCACCAGCACGCTGAGGTGGCCTGGGGGTGGCAGGGGGAGGGAAGGGCATCAGTGCCTGCCTGGCTGGGCTTCGGGACAGAGGTTACAGCACGGCTTCCTGCTCACCCCAGCCCTTCTGTGCCTCAGTTTCCCCCCTGACAAGCGGCTGGGCTCAGGACAGTTGCCAGCTTGGTACCACACGGTCTCCCCAAGGCTATTTTTGGGGATATGGATGACCCCTTGCCCAGTTGCCACTGGAATTTGCAGAGCCAGGCCTGGGCAGCATTTCCCAGCCTGTGGCAGTGTCACATCTCCCCAGTGAGCTCATCCCCACCCCTCAGCCCTCCAGCCACGCTGGGGGAAGGATGTCACTCCCCACCAATCCCACTCCACTCCTAGCCCCATCTTTGCCCCCAGCCCGCACGAACCGCAGCAGGGGATGTCCTCCTCGGTGGAGGAGGTCTGGGTGTCCTCAGGGGATGGCTTTTTCTTGGAGAAGCTGATGATCCTGGTGATTTTCTTCCCTGCTGCCCGGCTCATCGAGCCCTTCAGGTCAGCCAGGCCGCTCTTTTTGCCTTTCCCTGGAAGGACAGGGTAGCTGTGTGACCCTGGTGTGTGCCCTGGCACTCCATCTGGCTGCAGAAGCTGCTGCCCAACTGTGGGCACACAGCTGGCCCTGGTTGGGTGGGCAGTGGGGACGGGGACTGACCGTGCTCGCCGTGCTCTCTGCGGGTGGCCGGGGACCCGGTGTCACCCATGGCCACACTGTCTGAGTCTGAGGTGTGCTTCTCCTGGGACAGGCGCTGTGGGAGAGCAGGATCCCATCAGCATCATCCCCCTGCACAGGGCTGGGATATCCAGCTCCTGTTCCCCTTCCCAGCCCTGCTGAGCTGCTGTGAGAATGGGAAGGGCTCCTCATGCAGCCCCAGGAATTTGGGGTTCTCCAACCCTGTGTTTCCCAGGTTTGCCCACAGCAGCCCCACACAGCCCCTGGACAGGGCCCTTAGAAACCATCACCTTGTCCAGCTCCATCTTGCACGGCATCGCTGGGGAGGTGGGGGCTTCCGTCCCGCCCGCTGCTGGACTGCTGGCTTCCTTTATCACCTGCAGAGACAGCCCCAGCTGCCACTTCCAAATGACCCTGGGCTGCCCTCCCTGGCTCAGCTCCTTCACTACCAGAGCCAGGCTGAACCAGGGGGACGAGCCCTGGTCCCCACAGCTCAGGGCAGCAAACCCAGCTTGGTACTGCTCACACCTTAGCCCCTTCAAAACTTCAACCAATTTTGTGGATTTTAGAAATCTCAGAAGGAAGAGACTTAGGTGCCAAGCCAGCATCATCCTGCCAGCACAGGACACCTCGTGACCCCCACTTTAAGGCGTGGTGTGTAAAACAACCCTGTTCTCCCACACTGGGGGTGACAGCTGCATTGGTGGTGTGCTCAAAGGCTCCTTCCCCGCAGCCCCCGCTTCCCAGCCCTGAACAAAGGCAGGAAAGGGCCCTGGGGAAGAGGAAGGGGAGAGCAAACATCCCCCAGCCGGGGCTATCAGCACCGGAGCCACCCAGGCCCTGGGAAGCGGCCGATAAGAGACAGGAGCAAAGCCCCCTTCCCCTTCCAGCAGGGCAAGGCCATTCCCAGGGCAGCCCCCTCCCCAGCTGGAGCAGGGAGGATGCCAAGGGGAGTCTGGGGATGCCCCTGGGAGGAGCAGTGGTACCTTGAGCCACTCCTCAGCCTGCTCCTTGCTCTGCACTGCCAGCACCAGCGCCTCGGCCCCTGGCAGCGAGAACCGCAGCTCGTGCTTCTTGCGCCGCCCGTCCTTGGGCACGTAAATGACATTGCAGGTGCTCAGGGGCACCTCCACGTGTGGCTGCCGGTCCTTGGAGCTTTTGTAGCACTGAGGGAAGCAGAGAGAACTGCTCAGGGCTCAGCCAAACCTGCCTGGCTGGCTGAGGACAGGCCCCAGACCCCTGTGCTGGGGGGGTCTCATAGGTGACATGGGGTCTCAGGTCCCTTGCTGGGGGCACAGATGGAGGTGGCTCAGGCCATGCAACAACCTGAGGGTGCCCTCTCACTCCGTGGTGTCCCAAAAATAGGGGAGCCCTCTGTTCCCTTGCAAGGTAAGCGAGGGCAGCTGCTGCTTGGGTGGCAGCCTTGGGGCAGGGACCTTCTTTGGATGGTGGTTTTTTCCATCAGCTTGGGCTCAGCCACCCTCCCAACCCCTCAGAGGGTTTCTGTGCCCCCCAGGCCAGGCTCACCAGCAGTTTGCCATCCCGGATGATGGTGAGCTGCTTGGCCCACTGCCCAAAGCGCTTCTTGCGCAAGAGGAATGCGCAGATCCGGCAATCCTTCACCAGGTTCATGGAGGCTTCCTCTGATGGCCACTGGTGTGTCAGCTGCTGGCCCTTGCCCTCCTCCTCCTCCTCGTCATAGGACTCGTAAGAGCTGCTCATGGCATCCGAGTCATTGTCTGGAAGGAAGCAGGGGGGTCACCCAACAAGGTGCTGCACACCCTGCCAGGGTTCCCCATGCCCAGCAGGCTCCAGACAGAGCTGGGCTGGGTGCTGGGATAGGTGGATTCCGTGTCCTCCTCTGGAAACAGCAGTGCTTGGCACCAGCCCTCTCCATTTCCCTTGGAATCCCAGCAGGATGCTCGTGGGCCGAGCGCCAGCCCCAGGTGCATCGATCCAGAGCCCTGGGCTGCTTTATTTCTTTGCACTCTTTGAAATCCTGCTTCTCCAGCCTCAACCCCAGCAGCCCCAGCCCATTGCTCACCCCCACCTCAGGCTGGACCTTGCCAAACTCTCCCCTCCCTGTCAAGGACACCCAGATACCTACAGGAATTTTTCTGCTCCCCGTTTATCCTGGTGACAGGGTAGTTGCTGTCTGCATCCTCGTAATAGCCGTCCTCGATGGAGTTGGGGGGGCTGGAGCTGTCTGCAGGGGAAGCAGAGGGAGCTGGGGATGGCACACACACTTTTCCCTCAGGGATGCTCAGTGGGACACAGCCAAGCACACCCTCCCAGGGCATCCCAGCATTGGTTCTCCCATGGCTCTGATCTCTCCCCCTCATTCCCAGTCTGGCTGGAGCAACAACTCCCTGCAACACCCAGTGGGATGGAAGTGAGTGTGACAGGAGTGATGCTGGTGGGAGCAGCAATAATTCCTTCCCCAGGATGAGCAGCCCAGCCCACTGGGAGCTGCCTGGTTTTTCAGGCAGGTGAGGGATGTGGGGGACAGCTCATGGGGCTCCCCACACCCTCCTGCTGGCCTGGATGGAGCAGGACTCACTGCGGGAGGTGATGTACTCGGGGGCCTTGCCAGGGCCCAGGGGCAGCGCTTCCTCGTAGTAATCCTCAGGAGGGGGAGTGGTGGGCAGTGGAGGAGCAGGATCCACAGGAACCTAGAGCAGAAACACCTCCAGCACGAGCCAGGCAGCAACAGGGGCAGGAGCCCCAGCAGGGCACAGGAAGGGTCCCACCCCTGCCACTGCCACGTCCCTAGGCAGGTGCAGAGCAGAGCTGGCTCGGGGACAGGCAGGCACGTACAGCTTTGCAGGTCTGGCTCCTCGCCAGCTCCAAGCCAGCGCCGTCACTGGTGTCCCCCTCGTCCTCCTGCATGTCCTGCAGGTCCCGCAGGTCACAGTCTGCACGGGGAAACACAGGGTGAAGGGAGCAGGAAAGCAGCGCTGGACACCCCAGCTGTGCCCTCTGGGGATCTCCCTCCATGGCCCTTCCCTGGGAGGGTGCTGGGAGATGGGAATCACTGGGAAATGCAGCTGGAGCGTGGACTCCCTCATGGCCAGTCCCCAGACAGCTACAAGGGAGCAGAACAAGCAGCCAGAGTGATGATGCCCACTCTGGACACGAGGATGTAGCTGTCACCCTTCTTCCAAAGGACCCCAGGACCAGCACACACCCAGTAGGACCCCCAGGACACCCCTCCAGCTGAGCCACACGTACCAAACTCCTCAAAGAGGGACTCCACAAAGCTGGTGCCATTGCCCAGGGACGCTGTGTTGACGTACATGTAGTCCACATCCTTCCCTGGAATTGAGGAGGATGCTCTGAGCCTGGGGCAGGCACTGGCACCCCTTGTCCCCAGGGACACAGAGCAGGCACAGGGCATGGAGGAACCCCCAGGGATGCTGCAGATCCCCCAGGAGAGCAGCAGTGGGGAAGGTTGGGAAGCCCCAGGTGCCTTCCCGTGGAAACCCCTGCGCTCAGCACAAACCCAGGGCAGGAAATGCTCTGGGAAGCGGCGTTTCCGCAGAGAGCAGCCTCCTGGATCCAGGGAGGATCCTCCTGTGCAGGGAGGAGCTGGGAAGGGAAAGCAGGGAGCCCTGAGGGGGCTGAGCAGGTGCTGGGCTCATCCCTGCACTTTGGGAACAGCCACAGCCACCACAGGAGAGGAACACAGACCTGCCGGCGGCTGCAGCTTCTGCAGGATGCTGGAGACAGCCAGCTTCTTCTCCTGCGTGGTGGCACTCAGGTACTCGTGGTCCAGCAGCTTGAGCAGAACGCTGAGCTCTGGCAGGAGCTGGTCCAGCACTGAGGGGAGCAGGGAAAATCCTGTCAGCCAGGAGGATTTTGGGATGCTGGGGTTAAGACAAGGCAAAACGGGCTGGAACTCCAGCAAAGCTGGAGCAGAGCAGAGAGTGGGAGCTGCAGTTCCTGCCAGTGCAGGACCCCTCCTGCACAGCCAGGGTGGCACACAGCTGCCTTTGGCTCTCCTGGGGCCAAGGGTCATCTTGGCAGAGGCAGCTCGGACGTGCTGATGGATGAGGATGGCTTGAAGGAGGGGACAGCTCCCCAGAGCATGGGGACACCCTGGCTGGGCTGCAGCTGTCCCCACACTGCTCCTTGGCAGAGCAACGCTGGGCAGCACCAAGGGGCTGGCACGGGGTATTTCCCAGAGGAAGGGAAGGATTCCGAGCCACTGATGGGATCCTCCTTCCTCATGTAAGGAAAAGCAGCACAATAAAACCAACTGGTGTTTGAAAGGGTGGAGGGGAGCACAGCAGGAGGGGGATGAGGTGGAGCAGCGCCAGCCAGGATGAGCCCCTGGGCACAGAGACAACGTGCCAGCATGGATCAGCACCATCCCAGGACACGGGGCAGGATGTGGCTCACGAGGCTCTTCCTGCCTCCCTGCATTCTACCCCCACAGCCCTTCTGCTTCCTCCTCCCTCCCCAGAGCCACACTGAACAGCAGCCTCGGCCCTTCAGGCCACGGCACACAGCAGTGCCCATCTCCCCTGGGCAGCCCAAACCAGGACAGGCAGCCCCAGGCAGCAGCAGAAGCCTCAGCAGCGCTCCAGGAGGGACAGACAAACATCCCTCAGACCCTGGGGAAGGAGAAGGAAGCACAGGGAATGGGATTCCTGTTCCTTGAGCTGGAATGACATCCCACAGCCAACACGCAGGCACAGGGCGATGCTCAGCTCGCTGGCTCTCACCAGCACACGCCTCCTGTGCTCTGCCAGCAGCTCTGTGGGGTAAGCACCCGGCTCCCAGGGGCAGGGAGGGAGGGAAGAGAGGAAAATCCTCCCTGGGGTGTTACAGAGTGCTGCACAGGCAGCACAGGATCAGGCTCCTGCTGGGGATCTCCAGGCAGGTGACACAAACTCCCTGCAGGGCTTGGCAGGGCAGGGCACTGACTACGAGGAAGCAGCTGGGACAAAAAGTAACATTTCCCCGGTCCAGCCAGCACCTGCAAACATCTGGGGAGTCACCCAACCTCCTGCTGCCCCAGCTCAGCCATGAGCTCCCACAAAGGGGTCAGGGACTGTGCAGACAATGGCTTTCCACAACTCACCAAACCCCAGGCTGTGGGGTCAGCAGCATCCCCCACACTCCCAGGACACCCCAAACCCCAGGCTGTGGGGTCAGCAGCATCCCCCACACTCCCAGGACACCCCAAACCCCAGGCTGTGGGGTCAGCAGCATCCCCATCCCCTGCCACGCGTAGGACACGTCCCATCACAGGCACCAGCTCGGTGTCAGGGCTCGGGGCCAGCCAAGGGCAGCCTGGTTTGTGTCAGCAGTGCCAAAGCAGGCAGGGAGGGGGGCGAGGGGACCCTGCCCTGCTGGGCACCAGAGCTGAGGGTGCCTGTGAGCAGCCAGGGCTGCTGCAGGGGCTGAGCTCAGCTGCAGTGCCCCGAGCTGGGCACACTCAGCATGGACACACAGCTCTGAAGGCGCCTTTGTTTCCCCCCAGCTGAGCTGTCCCCTC